GACTCTGGAGATGGAACCGATAGCACGTCCTGTGTCCAGCACCTTCCCCTACCCAGAGGAACGGAGAGTGGAGGCAGAGGCAGTGAAGACCAGTCCCACTGCCGCAGACAGAACTGCAGCAGGAAACTTCTTTTTAAAACAAAAGCCCTGGTCCCTCTGCAGCTTCGGGGAGCAGGTGAGTTGCTACGCTGGGAAAAGAGAGCCTGTGGTGTCCCCAGAAAGGCCGACAGGCTTAGTGCACAGCGCACACATCCAAGATGCAGAAGCGCGCACGGCAGGTGGGGCAGGGCACTTGGCTGGCCAGCCAGGTGTCCGGGCGCTGTGGATCCTGGCGGCTGGCGAACCACTTGCCCATGCAGGTGAGACACCACATGGGGTGGCAGTAGCACTGTTGGCATTCGCCCTCCGCCGCCTCCTGGCAGGTCTTCACCAGCTTCACGCTGGCACGTGTCTGCATGCAGCCGATGCACGCCTCCAGGTCCTGGCTGCTGGGGACTGAGTAGGCCGGGCTGACCTCCACCAGGGAGGCAAATGTCTCCAGGAACAGGTCGCCCAGGCTCTGGTGGATGACAACGTTGGCCGCGCTGCGGATGGGTGCCCGGAGTTTCTCACACAGCTCACCGTACTCCGTGGAGTTCAGCCGGATGTCGAAGGCCTGCACGGCAGGGCTGGCGCTGGCTACGCGGATGGTAAGCAGCTGCACAGGTAGATTCGAGTCTGGCGAGAGGTCATGCTGCTGGGATTCCGTCACAGTCAGGTGCACATCCTGCTGCTGGGCCACGTGCACACGGTACGTGGTCACCTTCATCACCCATGTGTCCGTCACAATCACCCGGGCACTCGGCGCCCCCGTAGCAAATTTGTCAATCTTCCAGAACTCAGTGTTCACGGAGGAAGCGACAGCTCGCCAGCCTGACTGCGGGAGGGCATAGAGGGCCAGGGTGCGGGCCAGGGGGTGGTGGGCCCACTGGTCCCGGGACCAGTAGTAGATAAGGGTGCAGGCAATGGTGGGCAGCAGCACCGCCAGCAGGAGGAAGACCCGCCAGATCTCCGGGGCCTGGCTGGGAAAGTAGAGCCGCTTTTCTGAGGCTGCGAAGCACATGCCCACGTAGTAGACCCTATTATAAAATGTTCTAGGCAGAGGCCGCTCAGCCCGCAGCCCCTCTCCCCTCCCTCTATGCCAGGCCGGCCCGTAACACCGAGAAGCCCGCCGGCGTCTGGGACTCACTTCCCGCCTCACTCTCCCCATATATATATATGTATGTGGCATAAATATGTGGTGCCGCGCACCGCCGTGCATATTTCTGGATTTTGATGATTCCCCACAGAACGTTGCAGGGCTTGTAGAGCAAATAACATTACAATTTTTACAGCATTCATAAAATATATTGTATAAGCATGTGAGTAATGAATCAGCCTTTTAGAGATCTCAAAACTTGTCCTTTTCCAAAGAAAATATGGCTTAACGAATTTTGAAAAAAAAAAAAGATTGAGTTTCTAAAAAGAGGCTTCGTGCTTCCAGATTGTGACTCCATAAGTAATTTTAACAAGCTAGAAAGAATGTGCTGTTAAAGAATGAGAGCAAATAAAACATACTTCATGCAAAAAATTACATGTGGATTTATTCATTTTCAAAACACTCTTTATTCTACTGTGATTTATAATTTCATTCATGTAATCGTCTTGTCCACCTTTGATTTTGACATGAACAGTTGGCACGTGACTAGCCAGCATGTTCGCTGCATCCGTCTCACCTCTGCACCCTGAAGATACAGATGTACCTGCCAGCAACGTCTCTGTACCTGTGCTTGCATTTCTCCTCATGTCATCAGAAAAATCAAACAGAATTAACTAGAAAATCGCAGCTCAGGAGCACAACAAAAATGCATGACCCCCAAATACATTTTTAGATGGAATGAAATGTTTTGTTGTTTTTATTAGGGAACACAGTACATAGTTATTTCATAATCGAAAGACTAAGGATATAATGAAGAAAGTTAACTTCTCCCCTGCGTAAGCACACCCGACAAATAAAACACAATTAACATGAGATTATATATATATATATATACACACACACACGCGCACATTAGCTATCTATCTATCTAATCTAAATCTTTTTTCCCCAATGAAATCATCCTGTAACCTACTTTTAAAACTTAACAACACAGCATGAATACATCTCTATGTCAATATAGACAGAGCTACCACCTCCTTTTAATCACCGCCAAGCAGAGTAGTTTGTTTGAGAAGCAGCCTGGAGGCAGGTGGGGGCCAGCCAGTGCAGGGCCTGGGAGTACACCTGAATTTTCTTTTAAGGGTGATGAGAAGCCATTGGAGGAATTTAATCAGAGGAGAGACAGGATTACATCGGCCTTCCTAAAGCCCACGGGGGCTGTGGTGTGGAATGGATGGAAAGAGGGCAGGAAGGAATTGGGGGAAGGGATGGGGCTCCTGCTGTTTCCACAGTGGGGAGGATGCTGCCTTAGACCAGGGCAGTGGTGGTGGAGGAGGTGGCAGGAGGCAGATGGATTCAAGGGCTGTTTAGAAGGTGGAGCAGAGATGTTCTGACTCTTGATTGGCCATGGGTTTGGGGAGGAGGCAGGTGTGGAGAATTTCCTGGTGTTTCTGGCAAGCAGAGTTGGCTAAAGGGAGTCCTGTTTGCTGAGCGAGGGGATGTTGGAGGGTCGCACTGGGGGAGGCAGTCAAATCTCAAATCACGAGTTATTTTGACTTGAACTTGCAGTGTCTACGGAGCACCCCAGTGGACACTCACCACTCTGGCATCCAGAGGAGAGGGCTGGGTATCATGATTCACTGGTGCTGAAGGTTGAGGAGGTAAACCTACAGCGGAGACACTCAATGAGGGAAGACTTGCGTCTGGAAGAACTCCAGGACTTAAAGGCCGGGTGGAGGCAGGTGAAGGAGGCCGAGAAGAAGCCGGGGGAGGGGAGAACCTGTGCACCGTCGGGGAGCTCACCGCCGTCAGGAGCCAGGTTAGTCTGCTCGCTCTTCTATCCCTAGGGCTTAGCACCGTTGCTGGAGTATCGCTGTCATCCCAGCCACAGGCAGAAAGGTGTGGCAGGAAGGACACCTACCGGAAAGTGGTCTTGAATTTAGTGATGTGTAGTCATTGGCAACTTTGGCAGAAGCAGCTTGAGCGAGGAGAGTGGTTAAAGTGGGTTACACTGTTCACACCACCAGCAGCAACTGCGTGAGGCGCTGTTTCACCGCGTCCTCGCCAACAGTAAGTGTCACCAGTCTTGCAGATTTGCAAGGCACAGATTCCTGTTACTTGACTTTGAATTTCTCTAAGGCCTTGAGCATTGTCTGGGTTACTTTTTGGAGAGTAAATTGTTCATATATTGTGCTTGGTTTTTTTTTCTATTCAGGTGTTAATTTTTTTCCTTCTTTAGTTTAAAAAGCTTTATACATATTAAGGAGCTTAACGCTTTGTCACCTGGACGACAAACATTCTCTCCTCTGTCATTTGTCTACTCAGTTTATGATATCTGTTCTGAAATTATTTTTCACTGTATTTATTTCTTCAACTTTTGAAATGAGCAATCCATTCACGTAATTCAAAAAGCTGAAAATAAATAAAAGTGGTACAGCGACAAATCTTTTCCCCACTCCTGGGCACCCCCGTCGGTTCCTAGACTCCACAGCTGTGACAGATCCTGTATTGTTGGCACTGGTTGTATCTTTCCAGAGTTTACTTTTGTGTATGGAAACAAATATAAACACCAATAATATAGAAGCCTGTTTTCCCTCCTTTTATACACAAAAGGCAGAAAATTATATGCACTATTCTGTACCTTTTTAAATAAATTTAACAGTACATTTTGGAGTTCTTCCCGTGTCAGTCTTAATAGGAAAAGCTCTCCATCTTTTAACATTATAAAAATAATCACTCATGTTTCTTATATTTTCATAGTTTTAATTTTTACATTTATATATTTAATGTCTGGAAATTATTTTCGTGAGGTTTGAATTTAGCATTATTTCTTTCTCAAAAAGAGATCCAAATGTCCTGACAGTGCTTATGGAATAATTCATCCTTTTCCCACTGATTTGAAATGCCATCTTATCCTATAATAAATTCTTATAAATGCCGTTGTCTGTTTCCAAAATCTCTGTTCTGTTGCGCTGATTGATTTGTCTGGGCTGGAACAGCACTGCACCGTCCTAATTTCTCCAGTGCTGCAATGTGTTTTGTTAACTGCTGAGGCAAATACCCTTTCTTCTTAAGTATTTTCTAAATTTTCTCATTATTTTCTTATCTTTTATTTTATAGGTGGCCTTCATGACTAACTAGTCAAGTTTAAAAAAAATCTTGTTAAAAATTGATTGGAGTTGCATTAAATTTATAGATAAATTTGTGGGAAAATGATATCTTTTAATGTTGACCTTCCACTTGGAGCATCAAACGTCTCTTTCTTGATTAAGCTCTTCTATGTCTTTCAGTCAAGTTTTATAACTTCTTTTTTTTCCCCCTTAGAGGTCTTTTCTACTTCTTAAGTTAATTTCTAATATTTTATATATATTTTTATTATTAAGATGTCTGCTTTCCTTTCTCATTATATTACCCAGCTGATTATTTTGTGGGTCAGAATTTGCCACTCATTTTTTAAATAAGTTTATCTATTTTTGTTTTTTTTTATAGCTTTTATTCTAGAAATTTCCAAACATACACAGAACTAAAGGTGACATAGAATAGATCTTTGTGTTTCCAGCCCCCAGCCCCCGGAAGCATCACATCACATCACAGCAGTCCCATCCAGCTAGCCCGCGTGCCTGACCCCCAGCAAATCCAGGTTGTTTTGAAGCACTTACCAGGTCTCACACTTCTCTATACATTTCTAAATGATATGAACTCTTTTTAAAAAATTGTAACCACAATACCATTATCATGCCTAAATAATATTAACAACAATCTCTTAATATCATTAACTGTCCAGTGTTAACATTTCCCCATGTCTTTTATTTTTAAAGTTTGTTCATATCGGAATACAAATAAGTACCAAAACATTGTAATTATTTCATATGTCACTTAAGTGTCTTTTAAACTGTAAGTTTGCCCCGTTTTTTTCATTTGTTGTAGTTGTTGTTGTATTTGTCCTTTTTTTCCGTACAGCGCTCCACATTCTGAGTTTTTCTGTTTGAATGGCATGGCGTCACTTACCATGCTCCTCTGTTGCCTTCCAACCCGGTCCTCTTGGCCTCTCGAGTCATTTTGGTTGATTGTAGCTCACTCCCCTGGGGATTTCCAGGAAGGGATCATGGGAACACATTCGTGAGTTCTTGCATATCCATGAGTTCCTCTGCAGACTTTCAGAAGGTCAGCGTGACTGGTGTGAAGTTCTTGGTGACTGTGGCATTCTTCTATTCTGAGACTGACAGACATCAGTGTCTGCATCCTTCTGTTGATGTCACATGGATCTTGTGTACATTTGCTCCTGATTGAGGCCCTTGGGAATATGGTATTGTCTAGTTTTGTTGTAAATTTATCTTCAGCTTCTTGGTTACATGGTTTAGTTTCTCTTTTTTAATGGGATGGGGAATTCAGGGAGATTAAAGGACTCTATAACCATCTCTTAACTCAACAACTCACCCAAATGTATGGCTTTAAAAGGTTTTTCCAGCTAGCCCTTATGATTTTTTGAGGTGGAAAATCTTACCATCTGTTTCTTATTTTGTGTTCCCAAGAGTTCTTTTTTATTCTCATGTTGTTCCTCCGCTGATCTTGTTTCATCTTCTCAAACTTCTCAAATCTCACTGAGGGTTCAATCTGGAATATTTTAGAAGTTCTGTCCTTTACTGCTTTAATTCAGTTTCAGTGGAAGCCAGTTGTTTCAATGACTCAGATATTTTATGTTTGTCTTTTTAAAATTAACATCTAGGTTGGTGAGTTTTGGAAGATGGCACGGTCCCTATCAATAGTTATGTGAACGAACGACTGTCTGGCTTCCTGATGGTTTCCTCTTCCTTCCATCTGCTCAGCAGTGGCAGGCGGCTTCTGGAGCCCGCAGGCTGAGTCTCACTTGGATGCAGTGGCTGTGAGAGCAGCTCTGCAGCTGGCCTTCCTTTGGGAGGTACCAGCAAGGAGATGGGAGATGCCCTCAGGAGCAAAATAGGTAACGGGAGGAGCCCTCTGGGAAATTCAATTGATGGCATTTACGGTGGGTGCTAACCATTGGTTATACCTAGTTTTGACTCAATACTTATTTCTCCAGCATCCTCCTTTTTTGTCTTTTTCTCTTCAACAATTCAGAGGGAGTATGAATGGGGGCAATAGCATATGGGGGATAACCTTGACTCTGCTCTGACACACACACACAAATGGCGATTTATAAATATGGCCAATATTAAAGGCCATTTACTTAAAAACCCAAGTACTTTAATGAAATGTGGCAAATTATTTGTTATGCATCTCAGAATTGATACTGACAAGCCAGGTGTCTCGAAATCACAGCATCCTGCATGAAAATAAGTGATTTTATGCAACACAGCACACTTCACATAACATATTTTATGTTCTGTGTTGTATTGACATAAGTGCCGTCAATTAAAGAAACCTTGAGATTCTTCTGTTGAACCTGGGCCTGGTCAACATTAAGAGTTGGAAGTGGTGTCCTTTATAACTGACTACTTTAACAACTCGTTAGCTGGTTTACTTTGAGTTTGACCGACAGTGACAGTACCAAGTCCTCCTTAGCCGTGCTGTGCGTACAAAGCCGAACTACGGGAGAGTATCTTTATGACTTCTGTGACATCTTCATGATGTAAGGACTTTTGCGGTGAGGACACTTTGAAGGACAGAGCTCATTTTGAATAGAAATGCTACAGCTGATGCTGGTAAGGTTTATTCACCGTTGAATGAGGAAAGCCTGCATTAGGGCTGCTGGCTGTGAACATTCGCTCAGCTTTAACTTGGTAATATATCCTCAAATTATGATCCACCTTATTTAGAGAATTTAGATGCCATGGTGGAAATGGGATCTAAAAATATCTTAGTAGATGTTCTCAGAGAAGAGTAGGAAATTATTTCAGAGACAAAGAGAGGAGGGGAGCGTTCCTGTGTTCCTCCCAGAGAAACTGATTTTCAGGTGCCACGTGAGGACACATTTTGACCATTATCCATTTTTTTTTCAAATTCTCTTTCTCTGGAAAGCTGCTGAAATGAGGGCATTTAATTTGCCTTTAAAGCAGACAGCATGCCAAGTGTCGTTAAAGATGGCTCTGCTCACGAATCATTAAAGGGCAGGAGAGCAGCGGCCATGAAATACGCCGCTTTTTGACATTCCGAAACATTGCCCTTCACTGCAGCTGCCAACAGCGAGCAGCTGCTTCCCGCATTCCTCTGCCGTCTCCTAGCTCTGCGGAACGAGGTCAGCTCTGCTTTCTCTTTACCCATCTTTCCACTGGCTGGACATCTGGATTCGTCGTCCTCTTGCCTCCTAGTTCAAAATTTTCGTTACTTCATCAATGACATGGTGGACAGACTGGGCAACCTATGGCAAGAAGCACTTTAGGTTTGGCCCCGGTGACTCAGCCCCAGGGATTTAGCCCAAGAAACCCAGCCCTTGTGATGCAAGAATCATTGTACTTTTCCACTGAGCTGAGGCCGAGAAGTGCTCCTTGGGACAAAGACAGAAGAGAGGCGGGGAACCAGAGGTCCGCCATTTGTTCCTGCTTTCCCCGGTTTGCAGACGTTTGATAAAAGTAATTCACCTGCAGATGAAGAACACACGGAGGCCCTCCCTTCAGTCACGGTGAAGTCTGACGTTCCATGGCGGTTCGATTTCACGAACAGGGTTTTTTTCCTGATTCCAAGCAGACAACTTGGTAAACATAAGTAAATAGACGGAAGGTTCAAGATTCCCACTTAGACATTGGAGTTAAATAGCAGGAATGTAGTATTCAACAGGGGACGAGATGCCTTCACACAGCCGACCCGAGGTGTTGGCCTGGGGTCTGCTCGGACCGTGGCAGCGCAAGGCCAAGCGCTAGCACGGTTCTGGCGGAGAGGCTTCTTCTGGGGCGGGTGTGAGGGGCCCTCGGGCGCTGGAGGGTCTGGGCTAGACCCAGGCACCCGAGACGGACTTCCACGTTGGCCCCAGACCACTGCAACCATGCAGGAGCGAGCTTCATGGTTCCAGCTGCTGTCTTCTCACCTCGGGCGGTGCTTAGAATCTACCACCAGAGAGCCATCCTCTGAGCCAAGGCTAGCAGCTCGTACGCTGTCATCATTTGCACGTAAACGAGTTAGTCACGTTGCTCTCCTGAAAGAAGTGTGTGTGTGTGTGTGTGGAGAGGATGAGGGATCAGGATGCAGAAGTACTTGACTCAGATGAAGGCGGGAGGTGGGGCTGGGGGGAAGGGATGATGAAGAGGATGGGGAACGAGCCCCAGGAAACAGGAAAATTACAGAATGTGAGCAAGTCCAATGCCGTCAGTCAGCCCCTTTGTTACCGGTTTGCTTACGAGTAGCCTTGGTGAGGATCCAAAATAAGATTTGCCTGAACAATTGTGTGTGACGTTGTGATGATCTGTAACCCACATGTGGTTCCAAGAGACACTGGGTGCAAAAGAGATGACTGCACATCTCAGATATTCCAGAATGATTCAACATCTCAATTTTCGGGCTCAGTGTCGCTGTCATCAGTGAAATAACTCAGAAACACTGCTGTTTTAGTTTCTGAATACGTTCTAGACCCTTGGTTCTCCAAGTGTGGTTGGTGGACCTGTAGCGTAGGCATCACCTGGATTCTTGTGGGAAATACAGACTCAGGTCCCGTCCCAGACCCAATACATGCAAATGAACAAGATCCCCTGGTGTCCAGGGCACCTCTTAGAACTGGTTGCACAAATACTCTTTGTCAGAGCAGGACCAAGAGACCTTTGTAGGGAGATCTGGAAGAGGCTGGGTTTTCTCATTACCAGAGCCCAGCTCCTCCCTGACAAGGCCCTGAGCGGGACCCGGCTAACGTGGCTCATTTAGCACACATCTGGTCTCCCTGATAGAAAGGATTAAGAGCTTCAGAAGGGAAACAACATCACAATATGTCTGCTACTGAGACTCTTTCGTCCTCGGATAAAGATCTTTCATTCTAAGTCCTGAGTAAAACCAAATACTTGTTTAATTTGTGATGTTTTCGTGCACAAGTGGAAATATGACCGAGGCCACATGGCAGCTGGAAGGTCCTATGTACCACTCCAGCCCAGGCACGGCTCGCGGCCCCTGCTGCCTGGCCAGCAGAGCTAGGCCCTGGCTCCCCCACGGGCTCCCACGATGACGTAACATTCGGTGAGTGCCAGCAGGGCCCCAAGACAGAACGTTGTAGACCCTTCAATTTAACAGGAAATGCAGAACCTTTTCAAAAACATCCAAGGAACTCTTTGTACTTAAGGAATCACATACCTTGTATCTTTAAGATCATGTAGGAACTCAGTATGTCTTGTCATTTATGATTGAAGAATTGAAAAAAAAAGGTTGATCAAACAAGTCCCATTGTGGGAGACATCCAATAGCATATTGAAAGAGGCCCTCCCACCTTTCGAGAAGCTGCTGGTTTTTAAATTGCGGAAATGCCTAGGAGAGCTTTTCTTTGAGAAGAGAGAACTTTGAAGGCATCTGAGTCCTGCCCCGCAGGTAGCTTGGCTGATGGTGTTTAGGTGTTAAAGCGGGTGAAGCCCTTAAGATGAAGACTCTCTCGCCAAGGGGAGGAAGGCTTGAGTCAAGGGACGTAGTCACCCGAGCCAGGATACCATGTGGTTGGGGCGGTCATCCATCCGGGTTGTCCCGGGCAGCCCAGGTTTATGTCTGCTATCCCAGTGTAATAATTATTAAGCCTGTCTCTTCCTTTCTCCCAACTTGGCTTGGACCTTAAACTTTAGAATTATACAACCGGCAACTTTGTAGGTTGTGAGAGTCTTACACGGTCATTCACACATGGTTTGTGAGATAAACTCCCAGTCAACTATCCAGAGCCGCGTGGCCCTGTGTGAGCCGGCCCTGCCTCCCATCCCAGGCCAGTCCCCAGCCCTCTTCCTGTGGGACTCCTGGGTTCTCAGAACACGCCGTGTTTTCTTCCTCTGTGGCGCTGTCTGCAGTTGTTCTCCCCGCTGAAGGGGATTCATTTTCCCCTCCATCTGCTCAGTCAATTCCCCTTTTGCTCCAGGCCCTTCTCACATTCGCTCTGGTGAAACCTCACTCAGGACCCTCCATTCTTTGGGGCTTTTCCTGCACTTTGGTGCACCTGCAGAGGAGGTGCGGGCTGTGCCAAGCCCAGAGTGCACTCCATACAAGCCTGTGCAGGGAAGAGAGGGCGGGAAGGAAGGAAGGAAGGAGGAATAAAACAGACGTGGTCATTGTGGAGTCAACAGCTGCTAAGAAGAAAAGCTGGATTTTGGGGGTGACTTTCGTTAGACTGTGACGGTTCCCTTTAGGTCTGTGTCCGAGTTTATTTTCCCCTCGTCTTTTCCTCCTTGTTGCTTGTCCTAAACCTTCAAGGAACACGTGAAATGTGTTGCGCCCTTTGTAAGAGGCAGCGTGGATGGGGAAAGGCGATGAGATGGCTTATTCTGCAGCCCTGCAGTGAGAAGATGCTGGTTGGAGAGGACAGGTGGAGGCAGGTTTAAGAAAGGAGCAGGAGCCCTGTTCCTGAAGCTGGGGCCTGAAAGTAAAAGCGCAGCAGGGGGGGCGGGGCTGCTCTGGGACTGAGGAGTGTCGCAGGGTGTCTCCGCTGTCCTGCGTACCAACATAACGGTGAACCTCAAAGCAATCTCTACATTGATGATAACACTGTTTGCATAAGGACAGAAGTGAGTACAAGGCTCTCTTACTCCACGAGGAGCTCATTGAAAGATGGATGTTCATAGAGAGAAGGTCTTAAAATGTCAGTGCATTTGGCTGAATATGTGTTTCTTCACTTCCTCAGACAGTGTTTCTAACGTGTGGTCCCGTGTCAGGGTCACCTGGGCCGCTTGCAGAAATGCAGATTCTCGGGCCTTTCTCCAAACTCACTGAACCAGAGTTTCTGGAGGTAGCTGTGGGCTCCAGGTTTTTCCCAGGCCCACCAGGGGTTCCCTGTGTTCACTGGAGGGGGAGAACCCCAGCCAAGGGAGGGGTTCATGGCCTCTCCTCACCACTTTTGACCTTGGACAGAAGTGAGCTTCTTAGGAAAGTCAACACTTTCATGTGATGGTGGACGTAGAGCTAAAACACCCCACAGGGCTGCCTGGGCCTCCGCGGGAAACCTGGGCAGGGGAAATCCACCTCCAGTCACGGTTCTTCTTTTGGGTCCAGTCTACACAGCCCTCCTCAGTGTCACTGATAGGACTGGCTAAGAAGCTCGAGAAAACTCCTCTCCCGTGCATCTTTGCAGCTGAGGTTGAAATGGGATTGCTGTCAGCTTGACATCTTCTCTTTAAATCCCCTGCACCAAGGAAGCAGGCATCCACGTTTCCAGCGAGCTTATTTTGGAGGCTGTGAACTTCCGTAACAAGCTCTGTCCAGCTTCTGAAAAATCTGCGGACGGGTAACCTTGTGGATCTTTGCACTTGGGAGCCAGAGAGATGGGATTCAGGTCAGGACAAAGGTCTCCTCCTGAAAAGGAGACGCTGACATTTTCAAGGCCACAGTGGAGAAGACTCTTACAGTGCAATGGTGGCCCCAGTATTTTAAGAATCCCTCTGCTCTCCAGCTGTCCCTCCATGTTGCACTCGTGTTAAACTGCAGTGCATGGAGTGTTTGTAACTATTCTTGTCATAAAATAACATTTTCTATTCTTTTTCATCATTGCCCATAAATTCCTAAGCCCATTATTCCCGGTTTTCAAGAATCCACGAGGAGATGTGATTAACAGCTTGTTTGGGAGCAGATGTGTCTTTCCATGTGTCTTCCTTTCTGTCTGACTCAAGAACAAATTGCTCAGAATGACGATTTCTGTATTATTAAACTTGTCTGTATAATGTTGCTTTTAAGCCATTACTTCTCAATTTGCCTAATGTCTTGTATTGTCCAGCCTTTTGAACATGGATACTGTCTGGTTCTTAGAATTATGGCTGATTAGTTCAAACAGCACATAATAAAGAAAGTTTCTATTTGGTCTGGGAATTACAGAGTCTGGATTGTTTGCTTAGCTGGCTTAAATAAATTAATCAGTCAAATTTCCCCTTACTTTGTGTTATGCATTGTCCTCCCAACACTGCAGATCGTAACACAAGTGCACCTTTAGAGTAAATTTGAGTAACCCTATTGAACATGAAGGATTGGAACACAAGGCCCAGTGGGCAAGCATCACGAAGACAGACAGCCCTCGGAAGGTCGTTTTTGCTCGTTGCGAGTCTAAACCAGAGAGGAACCACCAGACATAAAGAATCACCTAACATTAAAGTTTACATTGTGGTGTT